AATAGTTGAAAAATATTTGTTTTTATTTTTCACAAGTAAAGATATCAATTCAGTACAATACGTTTTATAAAGGTAAAAAGTATTTTTCACACTTTTTAGAATCAAAGAATAATCTAAAATCATGATAAAATACAGCCCTTACCATTTTACTCAATAAAAAAATATTTTACAAAATGATCGGTGTGTGAAAATGAAAACATTTTCCAGCACAACATAAAAACACACATCAATTACTATTGTAAACCACTATAACTAACTATATACTAAATGAATTCACAAGCCAAATACATATTTGGCTTGTGAATGCATATAAATAAACTACTCAGCGACTAATTTGGTTAGCGATCAAGACATATTATAATCATACATCACCTTGATGTAAAGGAATGCTTACTATTCCATACCACTGCGTCGCCACCACCGTGTCACAATGTTTAGCAAAAGCTCTTACGTAGAGTATAAGAAGGACTTCATTATCTATTACCAATTCACAACAAGAGAGTCTATAGTGCTTACAGCGTAAATATCAAATTACCAAGGGAAAGCGTTAGCCCGAAACAGCTGCGTAAATAGGAACAAATCAAATAGAATACCTTATGGAAGCCCGTAACTTACCGATGGTGATTCAAATGTATTCGAGTATCTACCTACCCTTGTTCCAATACAGTGAATGCTACGTGACGTGGGTCGAACATGTATTAAGCGCTAATAAACACACTGTTTTTATTAGCTAGTAAAATAGGTAGTATAGGTATAGGTGGAAAATCTGTGCTTGTCAAATTTGTTTCAATAATGTCAATTCACCTGATGTTAAAATGCTTGAGAATTCTTTGTCTAAATAATTGGCTGTCGTGTCGATGAGACCCTATTATTATGAATTCGCTATATGTCAGGCCTATATGTCATCTGGGTCTTTATTGTTAACCGTACTTGTAAGATATTTGGAATTTCTACAATTTTTTTTTTCTGTTGCCAACTATAAAAATGAAACGTAAAATAAAGATAAGATACTTACTATGTTCAAAAAACACTGTCGTGCTATATTTGAAAATGGCACGGAACCCTTGGCCTGTTATTCATTTTCAAATACATCAAGCCTGTTGACACACGCCATACCTACTTTAATTTTAAATATCTGTCAATTAACATGTAAGTATATTGAAACATAATATCTTTAGTCCTTTTCCTGATCCACTTTTTTATTCTATTAGTATATATAATCCGGCTGCATTCGAGGTTGGTAATGTTACTTGTGTCTAATTTGTTAGACGCCACGCCTCATCCTTGATCTTTAACCTCCCTTACCTTGTATTTCGGAGGAAATTGATACGGAGATTTATATTACAACTTATGGAGGTACAAAAACGAATACGAAATGTGTTTAGTCAATAAACGTCTACTGCGAAATGACGTATAATCAACTATAAATTGTAATGAAACTGCGTGTCTTTACTTTTTTTAATTATTGATAAATTGGTGTAAAAAAATATTCTTACCTTACTCTTCATATTTTTTAAAAGTCGATAGGTGGTGTTGTGCTTCAATGAAAATTGGTGCATATGGCGTAGCGCATTAACTATATTCGCGATTAACTTAAAATCGATTCGGAAATTTTCTGCACCATGTACATATAAAGTAAAGATTCTCTGAACCCAGTCAAAAGTAAATCACCAAGTACCTAAATGTATCCACAGAGCAAAATGGACACTCCTTCCAAATGAAGTCATCAATACACGATCCGCTCAGTTCAATTTTAAAAATCAAATTCTATTCAGTTTTCGCTCTCCGTCCGAGCTCGTTTCACAGTGGACTCGCCCCATACATCACTTTGTTAGTTATCAGTTTGGCCGTGCGACGTTGATGAATGTTAAGTAAAACTCGGTTTTGTTGTTCCGCCTCCCGGTCCGCGGCCTTGTTTCCAAATAATGGCGTTAGGAAACAATTTACATCTCTTTTTGCAGGGATCAACGATTTACCTTCCATAGGCTGAGTTTGCGTGGTCAGTTCTATATATTTTTATAAAACTAGTTGAGCCAGCGAACTTCGTATCGCCATAAAAATATGGGTGGTAGAAGGGTGAAAATATAGGGTTGTATGTATTTTTGTATGATGTATCATAAAAAAAACCAAAAAAAATTGTCCAGAGAAAAAATTAATGGTGGACCACCCTTGACATTTAGGGGGATGAAAAAAAGATGTCCGATTCTCAGACCTACTGAATATGCGTTTCGGAGGACTTCAATTACGCACACCGTGACACGAGAATTTTATATATTAGATTTTCGACTTTAATTATTCTTTTATTTTTATTTTTACTGTAATTTATTCAACATTTATATGGGACAAGATTCCACCCGTGACTTCATCGTATTTTACCTGGTACAAATACAGTTTTCAGATAGAAAGATATTGAATACTGCGTAATCTAATACTTTACTTTTCTTATAAGTAAACAAACAGTTATTGTTTAGATGGAGTTTTCAAAATTGAATAAGCGAAAGATCCATCAATTATATCGAGATGTTGCCGTACAAAATACATTATGTAAATCACAATAATTCAACAAGAGCAGTCACGTTTTATTTGCTTTTCGGATGCCCCTCTCCTTTTTGTCAAGAGCCACGGGAAGCCCGTTTGAATCAATTGTATTTTGGATAATAAAAGAATCATCCACTCGTCTCTAACGAAAATAACTCACAATGGTAAAGGTAAAAGAAGTCGAGTCGTAAGAGACACTCGAAGTGTTTTGCTTCGATGCTGAAGAATTGGGCGCTTCCTCCATACCTATCATTTTCGTCAAGCTTGCAGAAATTACGTACACGTGGAGGGGAAACCCTTTCTCATTAATCATAATCACACTCATCTGTGAATAATCGTGTTGTTGTCAAGATCTTGTTTTACGTTTACCGTGTTTCGCATTTTCGTTGCGCTAGGTGTTATTAATCTATATGATTATTATTTTGAAATAAATGAAACAGTGAGTAAAACCTACGAGTATTTAAATGTAAAATGTTGTCTGTTTGTTTCTCCATAATTGAAAAACGTATTTGGACCCAGCTTTGTACTTAAGCTTACACAAGATGGGTACTTTTTTCTCTCAAAAGTTGTTTGTTTCCAATACAACAGTATTTGCATTGACGTATGAAAATACTGTTTTCCACTGTTACTTAATCATGACTCGTTTCTCTATGGACGTAATTCTACAGTTTACGCGCTAATCCATCACAAATGAGTGCTCCTCAACGAGACCTATTAAGTCAATTAACTAATTACTATAATGCTCACAGAATATATGTTTATACAGTTTGCGTTAGTGTTGCCGAACTATCGATATTAAAACTATCGACAGTTTACATCGAAAATCATATACCCTATCGATAGGCCTACCGATAGAATCGATACAACCGATAGTATCGATACTATCGATAGCTCAGAACAAGGCAATACTATCGAATGAGTGCAATACTAAAGATACTGTCGATACTAATGTAGTTCGTTAATAACAAACTATTGATAGTATCGATACTATCGATAGTGTTGATATTATCTGCAACAATACTATCGATAGTATCGATACTAGCGATTGTTTTAGACTAAAGTTTGTGATTGACAATAATACCTGAAAATTGTAAACAATACTATTGCAAATTGTTAAACTATCGATAGTATGGTTGCAAATAAAATCGATAGTATCGATACTATCGATAGTTTGTTATTAACGAACTACAATACTATCGATAGTATCGATAGTATTTAACTCATCCGATAGTATTGGCTTTTTATGTGTATTGATACTATTGATAGTATAGATACTATCGATAAGCCGATCAATTGTCATACGATTGGTTGGCTATCGATAGACTATCGATTAATCATCGATAGTCGACTATCGATCGGCAACACTAGTTTGCGTAGTGACGCGAATTATTTTGATACAATTTGGTATTTTCAATGTACTACACTAACGTAAACAATGTTAGTGTCATTAATATTTAATGATACTTTTATATCATCACATCTTGGGAAATCTGATGTTAGCAAACAAAGTTAACATTACTACTTCTTTTATGTACTACTAATATTTTTTGCATTACCAATATAAAGTTACTAGCGGCAGCCTGCGACTTCTTCTGCGTTAATATTAGTCTTCCCACACAGGAACCTAACATTTTTCCGGGATAAAATGTACCCTGTGTCTCAATCCAAGTATAAGCTGAATAACAACCAAATTTTATCCAAATCTGTTTACTACTTTTGGCGTAACAAACATACAAACCTTCACATTTCTAATATCAGTAGGACTAGCTGATCCGGCGAACTTCGTACCAGCTATCAGTCCATGAACATTCATGGTATGCTACATTTTTTAAGCTTTTTTTTATTTCTTTATTTGTATTCAGGCATCGTAGGCCCATAGAAATATATAACTTATATTCTAACATAGATATGAAATATAAAATAATAACAAATTCTAAATAACACGTTTAGTCGGCGACGTGTGGCACGGAGTGGTGTAAGGTAGCCTGCCTTTGAAACGCCGGAACACCACACCTTTCGGCCAAAGCTCCTCTTTCAAAAAGGTCAGATGTTCAGTCTGCACTCTCACCACAAATGAATTAAAATTCACATCGTGGCGAGACTCCAAACGCGCGACTCTCAGGGAGAAATGGGTCTTCATACGCAAGTATTCTGCAATCCCTACGCCTTCGTGATGTAATGCAAGCGGGACATATACAGGAGCGTCACAGGTATCGCTGGATGCAGCCGGTTATTCGGTCCGATCGGGGCGACACCGCGCAGATTGCGACGAGTGGACTTCCTCTTCTTCCTCTCCACTGTGATGAAACCCTCTTCGCCACAATTACGGTTACGTTTTTCCGTCGGAGTTGCACAAGGGATGTCTTGGCTACCCTTCTACTTTGGATAAGTGGATTTCCGCTCAGTTTGCGTGACAGCGACGGTTCGACTGGCGGCCGCAGCTGCGTAAGCGCGTTTTGGTGTTAGCGCGCAGTCGCGTGACTTCTCCGGTGTAGCGGAGAGGCGGGTGACGGGGGCACGGCGCGGGGCTTCGCGCTCGTATGCGCCGACTCTAAACTTCCCACGGATGCATTATGTTTCCCCCTGCGACGTTTGTTCACGTTGGAGGCCTCGAGTGACCTACAAGATGATGATGTACAGGCGGCGCTACTTAATGACTCCAGTTGGGCTCGCAACTCACCGATGGTGTTGTTTGATTCCTCCAACGTGTTCACTGCATCGGCCAGATTTGCTTTTAGGCAGTTGATGTCCTTGAGCAACCTGGTGACATCGACGTGATCGAAAGTGACGGGGGGGAGCTTGTGTAGCTCCTTCGCCACGAATGTGGGCACGTCATCTGGATTCAATTCTTTTAGCAGGGTGACGATGTCCTGCAGACTCTTTTCCGTTCCATCCCTCCGGCAAGATGGCATCTGATCGACCTTGCCGACGGACCGGAAGAGTAAAACCTTGCCACTGCAAACCTCCTCTTCTTTAAAATTCGATTTGCAGATCCGCAGGATTCTAATCTCGTCCATTGTATCTATGGCGTTTTGAATGAACGCCAACAATTCGTTAGCTATGAGTTGTTGCTACCGAAGCACACGACGGCTGTTGCTGTATGAGACGCGAATAATAAATTCTCACAGCACTGTGACGCACGTCCGTTTCCAAGCGCACATCATACTGCACTTTATTAAATTAATGATTTTACAACCAAATTAAAATGAATAAAAGCTTAATAGTTTATTAGGATAATATATACTTACTTATAGAGAAAATTCAAATTACATAACCATGGCGTATCAGCGAAATAACGGGTTAATTGGTTGCTAGATGTTTGCCCAATATTCTCCTAACATATCTAACCCTAAATCTGGTACAAGTACCTGAAATTGTTCTACATTTTTGAAAACTAAAACCAATTAAAGTAAAACATACGTCATCTTGAAACAAAAAAAACGAGGTTGTAGTTATATCCATTGTCTCCTTGGCAAAATATCTGCAGGTATTTATAGCAGGAATACCTTTTTTATGATATCTCGATGTTTGTTTTGCGTTTGCAAAATATAAAAACTCGCTAAGTGCGTGTCGTGCCACGCGCAGTCTAGGGTTCCATAGTTGTCTGTAGTAACCACAATATATTTCAGCAAGAGTCTTTATATCCTACATCGGAAATTAGAAAAACTTATTAATATCAATCTATATATCTTAACTAAAATACCTGAATCAAAGTCAAACTGCGTCTCAAACCCAAATTAATTCGATTTTTTTTGTTTCCTCCCAGACGGGGGAGTGGGTGGAACTCCTCATGGTAACCCTACAGCCGGCTTGCACGGTTATGACAGACTCTTACCACAGTATATATATATATATATATAACTGTACTTTTACTGACTAAAAGCTTTATCTGAAGCGATCATCCCCTAAGAAGGGGATGCTGCGGTATAACCACCGAACTTTTCCAGTGCTTGTATACTTTTTATAAAAACGCTATGTTAGCGCTACTCATAAGTTGTTGCCGTTGCCTTTGGTATTCGCGGTAGCGTTGTGGAACTAATGATATATAATTGTGGTTGTTAAATAGTTTTTTTTCGATTTTGTTGAAATGCAAGTTTTTCACGGACATGACGGAACTATAAGGGTTCTTTGTCAGGACTACGGAACCCTACGAAAGAAAACGTATTTTCTAGTGTATACATGTACTACATTGTATATACTAGAAAATACGTTTTTACCGAACTGTTCAAAGAAAGCTTTCTGTAAGAAGAACACTTTATATCTACTTCAGCTAAAGCATCCCCAAGTTTTCAGTAAACTGCAGTTTGAGATTTAATAGAGTATTGTGGGAGTTCTCGCATTTAGTTCTATTACAGTTCGAGGATTAGGTATAAGATATAAAATATTTATGATTTTGCTAGATTTTTGTTTATCTCAATATCGCATTACAATACTAATCGTGTGTATACCTTTCTTCTACACCAAATACCTACTAGAGACCAAGAATTGGGGTGATGATAGGGTGAAGTAAACGAAATTCTATTAAGTCCTTTAGTTAGATTATCAAAAAATAATCGATAAGTATTTTTTTCTTTTGTCAATCAAGGAAATTACAAAGATAAAGCCCGTCAAAATATGGGAGTGGGGCCACATGAGTAGTAAATATACGTACAGAGACAAACCACCTATAGAGCGGGCATTTTTAACCGACTTCAAAAAAGGAGGAGGTGCTATGTACGACTTTTTTTTTAATGTATGTTCACCGATTTCTCCGTCAATTGTGAACCGATTTCCAAATTTTTTTTTTATCCGAAAGAGTGCACTTCTGAGGTTGTCCCATTGAAACCAAGTCAGAATCTGATGGTAGAATCCGGAGAAATTGAGGGAAACCTTCAAATTTCAAAGGCACGCACGATGTTTTTTATGCATGTTCACTGATTTCTCCGTCAACTGTGTTATACTTCACTTGGACGATGTCATTTTCACTAAAATGGTTTTTTTTTTTAAATATAACCGACTTCAAAATCGGATTGGAACTAAAAAGTAAAAGATAATATCTGGTTCACGATTTGGAAATCAGGCGGGGTAAAACTCCGGGTCACTTAAAGAATCCTAAAAATCTCGCAAACTTAGAACAATATTGTAAAGTTACATCATAAAAAAATCAAAGGAAATCGACGAAATCGGCCCTAGCATGCCCAAAAGAATGTCCTTCACTATTATTTTTCTTTTATTTTTTTAATTTATTAGCAATTAATCATAGTAAACGAAAGTTCTGTTATTAGATACTACAGTCTGTTCATCCTAACTTGTCCTATTTGTTAACAATCTTGGTACTCCTTTTTATTGAAAATACAGCATTTAAAATCAACTGATAACTGGATTCAATGGGTTTCAGTCTATAATAACGATTTATTTTAATAGTTTATTGGCTTCGTTAGATTTTTATTCAAACTGGTGATTTAGTTAAAAAGTTATGCCAAGATTGTTTACCTTAATAAATGCAATATTGGCGACCATAGGTATTTATCAACATAAGAATTGAACTAGGTACCTTAGGTAATAATACTTATCACTAGTATTTATATTATATGTTTTATAAAAAGATTATTTCTGAAATTATGTAAAGATAGTTTATACTCCCATCCCATATAATATCTGTTTATTTTTATGAAAATCATAATGATAACCAGGTATATACCTTATTAGCGATAGTAAAATATAAACACAGGTTAATGGAAAGACTTTGAACATTTCATTTGAATATAAGCATTTATTATTAATTACATTTTATGTTCATTTAATGCATATTATTTAAGTGCTTACATGGAGGTAAACACTAAATCTTTTCAGAATATATAAAGTGTACATCTTTTACGATTAAGTATAATAATTATAACCTCAAAATCTAATACATTCCCTAGTAGGCCACGGTTCCTCAAGTTGTCCGTATCTCAACAAATGCCTAATTAGAGTTAATGAATGATTTCGAACACAACTAGCATTTTCTCATTGCTGTGCGTTCTAGGGCATTCAATGTATGGGGAACGAGCAATGTCCTTTGAAAAAGGGAGACTTTCGAAGATGGAAATACGAAATTACTGTTTCTAATCTGTCATTTATCATTAATATAAATCATGTCGATAGTGTTCAATATTAATTATTCAAGCTGTAATCATGTCCCTTACACCAGAAAAATGTACCGAAATTCTCACAATTGTGGAAACCGGCCGGAGTCAGCACGATACTGCCAGGACTGTCGGTGTGCCGCTGTCAACAGTACAAAGAGTTCTCCGACGTTACGAGGAAACTGGCTCTATCCTACGCAGAACAGGAACAGGTAGAACCAGGTGTACCACAGCACGAGAAGATCGATACTTGGTGAACACCATGCTTCGAAATCGGTTTCTCACAGGAATTAAAATAACAAATCAGTTTCGTCGCCTCGGAGGAAGTAATCCAAGCGCATGGACAGTAAGATGACGACTTGCTGAAGCTAGCTTGAAACCACTTAGACCTGCAAACGGCCCTTCACTATAGCGTGGGCATTGTATTTCAAGACAAGATATGCCCAGAACCACTTAAAATGGACTATTGGTGATTGGTCAAAAGTTATGTTCTCTGACGAAACAAAATTTATGTTCCACAAGCACATGCACATCGCAAAGCACATCAATATATGGCACGGAGCAAGCTCCCAGGTTGCGTCCCATACAAGAGGTTGACTCTGCTTCCAAGAAATGAGCGTCATTACGCCAGGTCTCTTGTCATCGTCTTGGAAGATGCCGCTAGGCTCTAGGACCACTGGCACCTTGACTGTGACAAGAGCTCTGCGAATGACGTCATTGGCGCAGGCGTGGCGGGAGACTCGACCAGCGCTCATTTGGCATGAGAGACCATGGTGTCCCAACTCACTGACGCGAGATCCGCAACGACAGGGATGGAGATGATTGGTCTTGACGCCAAGTCTAAGTGAAATAGCAAGTGATAGAGTCAAGTAAAATCCCGATATGAAACGAAAACAAATACGACGCGAGTGTTCCGCGAGCCCTGCACTTGAGTACTGGCACTGATGTGTAACATCATACGTGACAGCGCGGTAGTATGAAGCTTTGTCTCTGTAGGTACGTCTTTTTACTCATATGGTGGGGCCTCGTGACGTCACGTTTAAGTAAACATTTTACAACAACGTAACATCATGCAATATTTAAAATTAATATATATCGGTTTATGATGTTTTCATTAAATCTGTGAAAAAAATAAAAAAAAACATATCCAATACTTTATAATAGTATACCTGATAGATACGATGAAAGAAAAGTTAGCCATCATGCCTACATATACCAATGCTATTATTTTAGACGTGTAAATTGGCAACATTCCAACTAACAATTATATTTTCTATTTCGCCCGTGGATAACTTGATCCGACGACGAGTCTCACGAATTCAGTTTGTGTTATACATAAAATGTCTTTAAGCCAAATAGCATCTCCGAGGTATTTTTGGGTGATTTGATTTCCAGTCTAGTTGGCGAGGTTGCTATTTTCTCTGAAGTATCAGGTGTTTGCGATGTTTCTAATGTTAACGAAGAAGTTTTCGTTAGCTTAGTAGTACATAAATTGTACTTCAGTATCAAAGGAATGATATGAATTTAACAAAGAAAGATGTAAAGATTTTTTTTTTATTTTCAAGAAATTCTTAAAATTTGAACACCCAGTAGTTAAATGCTTAGAATCAAAATATAATGATCTGAAAAAGGTCTTACGATAGCAGTACATTATAACTTAAATGTAATTACAGATGCCGAAAAATATCACTCACTATAAAACATTCTGCAGTCCCTTAAGCCCAGTCAGAAATGCTTTTATTACAGCTGTTTACAGCTACCATATTGTGAAGAACATGCCATAACCTCATAGTGACCTCATAAACATTCCCCTCTCAATGGTAGTGTCTGTAATATATCATCATTGGAATGCTACTTACTAACACGGCTTAGTATAAAATAGAAATAAAAAATCTTCCTTGTTTGCCTTT